TGCAAGGATTATTATTATTATGGAATTAGGATTTAGAAGGATCAACCAATCGGGAAAATGAAAAAGAAAGTTTACTTCATTTGCAGAAAAAGCTCGAGTCAGTAGCAATTCTCTCCTTTACTAAAAATATACTCAGACTCTCTACAGAGTCTGCTGGACACCTGGATGGATGCAGACATACCAAAAATTACAGATGGCTCACATATTGCATCAAATACAAGGTGCCTGCTACAAGATAAAGCCTCCAGATTCCAGTTACTCTGATTATGTTCGGATCGTTTCTGAAAAATTAAAAATGGTTACAACTGACACCTGAACACTACAAGTCATATGGCAAATTGCTACCATCAATATTCAAGTTTTGCTCATTAAAATCAAGAACCAATAATATATTTCTTGATATGGGAGAGGTGGAGGCGATTGAGAAGAGAAAAGAAAATTGTTGGTAGTTACAGTAATATACTGATAGAAGGTCTATTTAAAAACAATTAGTCCTTCAGCCTGAGAAATTAGTTGCGTATCTTAGTGAAATCTAGAGTAAAGCAAATACTGAGAAGCTTATTTTAGAATGTACTATAGGGACAAATTGTGCAAGTTATCAGATTCTGAAGAACATTTGCCATCACAAGAAATCTGGTAAAACATTAATCACAAAATGCTGGAACTTTTCCAACTGAACTGCACCTCCAAACAGCAACAGGAAAATAGAAATTCACCCATTAATATTATAGATTCAAAGCAATACTGTACTTCTATTTGATTACATCTAGAATTCAGAATCAAAAATCTTTTAGATCGGTACCCAAAAAGCCAACAAATTTTTCAAAACACATTCTCTCTTTCTCCCCATTGGAATGATTCAATGAGAATTTTCCTAATATGCACTCCATCAACTTCAGTAAATTAGGACCTTGTATACCAATAAACAAATCCCAATGAAACTAGAATACTGATAAAAATTATCGATGACCAAATGTTTAAAAAAATGTGCTAACTTACAGGAAATGTCATACTTAACTTATGATTCGCTTACAGTTTACAGTAAACCCTGTGAAACACTTTGAGATATCCTCCCGACATGAAAGGTGCTAAATGCAAAGATTATTATTTTTGTTGTAAAACTTAAAAAAAACGAGTGTTAACACCACAGAACATTTAACATTCTGCGGTAAGATTCAATGTACACACACAGCCATTTTTTGAAATGTGTAAGTGAAGCTGGGCAGTGGATGACTGTTTTTGATGTATGAAACAAAACTCTGAATCAATTGATAGTTCAGTCCTGGGTGAAGATTTCGGGATCGCAATTCTACAATATAATGTGACAGATTGGAAATAAAACGGTGTTTGTCAGATTAGAAATAAAATACATTTATCTCAGTTCAATTGTAACACTTATATCTATCTAGTTTTGGATACGAAATTGGAACTGAATATGCAACTATTTTTTCTTTAAAAACAGGATCCTCAGATTTAGCAATAGAAATCGTCTGACAGCACCTGCATACACGCTTACTGGACTGGAGTGGATAACAAGGCAGTAATGCAACTGAGAGGCTCAAAAACAACCAAACAGCGTAAAAATTGAGTATCTTATCATTAACCCTAAAACGTAATGACTTCCTATCATCCTTCGCCACCCATTATATGTATTTTCTCTAAACTGTGTTCCAACATATAATTTCACAGAATATCGGACAATTTCGGATCATGAATCACAAACATATTCAGCATCTTCCATAGAATTCAGTACATACTCTTACTAGAATAGCACAAAGACTATCTGCCACCGTAACAAAAAAAATACTAAGCAGATACTAATCTCATTTTATAAATAAAATCTCTCTTCTCTTCCTCTATGACGAAACACTTAGTGGCAAGTCTGGACACTATGAGATACTCTGTCAATACCTTCTTTTACCTCTTCCATCCAGCCTGCACTCAACAACACAGCTAAGGCCAACAATTCACAATCCAGAGGATGCCATACTGCAGATATTCAGATGCTGAAAACTGGCCTTTTGGCTAAGCGATCTGGGATGTTATTTTACACAAAGTGCTATATTAAGAGTATATTATTATTATATTATTATTACAAAGTGCTATATAAATGCGAGTTCTTTCGTTGTTGCCCATAGGATTCCCATAATCATGTGATGCGGGCACAGCCTTACCATTAACATATTCTCAAAACAAGAACCCTCTCCTGTCAAACTGGTTCTCAACTTTTTTTTAAAAAGATAAACAAAAATAAGCACGAGTTCCACCCACTCAATTTATTATATCCCCTATTATTATATATTATGTTATTTATTATAAAACCTTCTTATATCCCCAAATCGTGCAATTTTCAGAGATTTCAGATTTCTGTAAACAAGACAGTCAGCTCCAGTGTTGCAGAATTAAAGGGTTGAGCTGCCCGAGTTTCTCCTGAAATTTAAGAATGTGTTGCAGTTCATTGTAATCAGCAGTGTTTGCATAATGCCAGTGTACTGCTTCCAGTTAAGTGTCAATTATCAAGAACAGATTTTCAATTTCTGTGAAATAAATAACAATATATTTAATATGTTTGATGTCATGCTGCACCAACGACAAATGTGTAGCGTAACTGGAGCTGCAAACTGTTCATTTTGTAGAGATTAGTGTAAATTAACTGGACACACACCTGCAGGTTAGCTTCAGCAATAATCGAACAATGAAACAAAAATCCTTTCACTGAAACCCTTTTCCTTCCTAAAAGGATTATGGCAATTTTAATTTTTGATCTTACATAATTCTCTTCCGTCCTCAAAATTCCTCGCTCGTTGCTGCCAGGTCAAGCTAAAACATCCAGTTGCCAGTTCTAGAGCCTATCTTATTTAAATCTAAGCTCTATTTGTTGTAGCAGAAAAATACAGAAGTTGTGGGTTCTCTACCTCTTTTCCCCCTACAAAACAAAGAAATAATTTCTTTAAAACCCACCTACCCGAATCCTAAATACCTTCACCAATAATACTCCATGTGCTGCCACAGAATACCTGGAGATTAATTTAGTGCAGCATTAAGATTTCTTATTAAAATATATAAACCTGGTGAATAGAAAGGTCAGACGCCGCCTGAAGCAGGCCACGTACCAGAAATTAAACGTATTCAGATACAGCTATGCTCTTTGCATAACAATTGCACCTTAAAATGGTAGCACACCATCCGTTTACTGTACTACAATTCAACCACAGATTTATATTTTGACATTTAATACTACCTCTTTTTTCAATTTATTACTAACAGTATGTACAGATCTGCGTTCACAAGTCTGGGCTGTGGTGTCCTTATTTGTGAAACCAAAAAACAGAGTCCATTAAAATAAGCAAAAACAGAGTCCATTAAAAGTCAACAAAAAAATTTGTGTGCTTGTGTGGGTGTGTGTCTTAATTTTTTTTAATATATAAAAATGAGACAAACAGTCAACAACAACCCCCCAAGAAGACTGAGCTGAGTTGATGTGAGTCAAAATGGGGAGATCAGTAGATATGCTGATTATAGGGTCATCCCTCTCTCTTAGTTTTGCATTTGACAACTTAATAAAGAAGTAAATAATAAATAAGGCGGCTGACATCTCCTTTGTGTCATGAAAAATATTACGTTTCCCCCAAAATGGAACGTTAAATAGATAAAATAAAGGCGATGGGGTAGAAAGGGAACGAGATTGTGTGATGAAACGTGTGTATAGATATATATAATAGATATATATAGATATAATATATATTATTATATATAGATATACCGACGCTCTCTCTTAGTTTTGCATTTGACAACTCAATAAAGAAGTAAATAATAAACAAGGCGGCTGACATCTGCCTTGTGTCATGAAACATATTAAGACGTTTCCCCCAAAATGAAACGTTAAATAGATAAAATAAAGGCGATGGGGTAGAAAGGGAACGGGATTGTGTGATGAGACATGTGTGCATAGATATATAATATAGATATACAATCTATATTGTATAGATATAATATATATTATATAGATATACCTAATGTGTTATATTGTTATATAGATATATAGTATATATTATCATATAGACATATAATGCATTGTATTATATAGCGATATATTGATATAATATATATTATATAGATATACCTAATGTATTATTGTCATATAGATATATAGTATATATTATTATATACACATATAATGCATTGTATTATATAGAGATATATGGATATAATATATATGCACATATATGTATAGAATATATAATTACATACATAATATAATGACATATATGTGTATACAAGATACGTACGATGTATATATATCAAAAATGAAACGTTAAATGAAGGCGACGGGGAGAGGGGGATAGAGGGAGAGAGGGAGGGAAGGAAGGGAAGAAAAAGGGAGTCCAGTGTCGCAGCGCCCTCCAGCCGTCAGCCCGAGCCCTGCACAGGCTCGTCCTCGCCCCTCCTCCGGCCCTTACCCCCCCCCCACCCCCTCACCCCTCACCGGGCTCCTTTCAAACTGCGAGGCCGAGGCTCGGTCGCGGCCTAGTCTGACAAACCACCGTGAAACCAAACACAGCCACAAGACAAGGCAGGTACACACACACACACACACACACACACAATATATATAGATATATAGCTATACTGTACACGTCTCTCTCCTCTCTCTCTCTCGCTCAATAATAATAATAATAATAATCCTCGCATTTGATATAGCGCTTTTCACGTTCTTCCAGATGTCCCAAACCGCTGCACAGAACACACTGCAAAGTGAATTGGACCGTATATTTGTGGGCGAACGCGGCGGCGGAGCCGATTGCGCACAGCGGCGTCCCACAGGCAGCCGTGGACTGGACACGGCCAATTTATCATCGTTTGGGGGGTTTGTTTTTTTTTGGGGGGGGGGGGGGGGAGGGATTCTTATTGTAATATATATATCTATTATATAGATATAGATAGATAGACACACACACAGACACACACACACGTCAAAATTAATAACAATAATAACTTACCACGAATACGCCTGCTCGGCCATGACGCTCCTTCTCTGCAGAGAAAGGTCGGTGGTGGAGGGAGGGGGAAGAAGGGGGGGGGGGGGGGGGGGAGAGAACAACAAACGTCCCCCACACCCACACCGACTTATCGAGATAAGAGAGATATAGATATAATTGATATCGATAATAGTTTTTTTGTTTTTTAAAAAAAAAGGCCGGCGGCGGCGGCCTCTCCCGCACCTTCCCTCCTCCTCTTCCTCCTCCTCCTCCTCCTCCTGGGAAGTGGGGAGAGAGAGAGGGAGAGAGAGAGAGAGAGACGGGGAGGTGAGGGGAGGGGGAGGGGGGTCACCTCAGGAGGGAAAGAGAGTGGGGGAGGGGGTGTGAGGGGGGAATTACCTCAGGAGAGAGGGAGAGAAGAGGGGGGGAGTTACCTCAGGAAAGAGAGAGAGAGGGAGAGAGAAGAGGGGAGTTACCTCAGGAGGGAAAGAGAGTGGGGGAGGGGGTGTGAGGGGAATTACCTCAGGAGAGAGGGAGAGAAGAGGGGGAGTTACCTCAGGGGAGAGAGAGAGAGGGAGAGAAGAGGGGGAGTTACCTCAGGAGAGAGAGAGAGAGGGAGAGAAGAGGGGGAGTTACCTCAGGAGGGAAAGAGAGTGAGAGGGGGTCACCTCAGGAGGGAAAGAGTGTGAGAGGGGGGTGTGAGGGGGTGGGGGGGATTACCTCAGGAGAGAGAGAGAGAGGGAAGAGGGGGGAGTTACCTCAGGAGGGAGGGGGGAAAAAAATCACCTCAGGAGAGAGAGGGGGAAATTACCTCAGGAGAGGAGGTAAAAATTACCTCAAGAGGGAGGGAGGGAAATATTACCTCAGGGGGGAGGGGGGGGGGGGGGAGATATTTTTTTTTGTCTTTATATATATTTAAACACAATTATATTCTTGCCACCGAAGGGGACAAGTGGGGGGGAGGGAGGGAGGGAGGGATGAGGAAAGAAGGGGAGGAAAGAGGGGGGGGTGGAGGGTGGAGGAAAGAGAGACAGAGAGAGAGAGAGTGAAAGACGTCGAGAGGTCGAAAAAACCCAAACAAATTGAAATAGAATAAGAATAAGAAAGAGTAATAATAATAATAATAATAGTAGTAGTAAAGGGTATTTTTTCCCCCTCTCTCTCTCTCTCTCTCTCTCTCACACACACACACACACCCCCCCCCCCACCCCCCCCAAAAAAAAATATACGAGGTTGAAAGACGCGAACGAAAGAAAAGAAAAAAGAAGAAAAAAAGGAAAGAAAAAGAAAGTAAGTCAATCAAGTCAGTCAGTCAGTCAATCCCTGACCATCACTGTAACATGGCGGCCGGGAGCCTGCATTGTGGACCTCACTCCCTCCCTCCCTCCCTCCCTCACTCCACCACACACACACACACACAACAAGAAAAAAAAGGGGGGGGGGAGAAGAAGGAGAGAAAAGAGAAGAAAATTCTCTCTTTCCTTCTTTCTTTCTCTCGCTCACTCGCTCACTCACTCACTCACTCACTCGCACTCTGTCTCTCTCTCTCGTCGCTCCCTACAAGAGAAGGACAGACAGAACAAGAGAGGAACCCCCACAGACAGACAGACAGAGAGAGAGAGAGAGAGAGAAAAAAAAGGGGAAGGAAACAGGAGAGAGAGAGAGAGAGAGAGAAAGAAAGGGGGGTGGGGGTGGGGGGAAAAGAGAATTTTTCTCTCTTACTTACTCACTCACTCACTCACTCACTCTACACACTCCTCTCTCTCTCTCTCCCCCTCTCCCTCCCCCCTCCCTCCTGGTCGCCTCCCCAACAGGAGAGATGAGAGAGAAAAAGAAAAAGAGAGAGAGAGAGAGAGGAGGAGGTGGTGGTGGTGGTGGTTTTGGGGGTGAAGGAGGGAAGGAAGGAAAGAAAAGGAAAGGGAAGGGAAAACACAACAACGATCCTCTCTTCTCCTTTTCCTCCTTCAGCCAAGAACAACAACAATAATAATAATAATAATAATAAAACGCAGGGCGTAAACACACCAACAAATATATCTATATCTCTTTCTCTCTCTCTCTATATATATATGTATAATATATAGGGATTAGTTCTCCACCGAAAGAAAGGCTTCCCTCCTTTTTTTTGCTTTTTCACCTTCTCTTCTCTTCTCTCCTTTCTTCTTCTCCTCCTCTTTCTTTCCTTCTTTCTCTTCCCCAACCCCCCCCCCCCCACCCCCCTCTTTTTCTCTCTTAAAAACAAATCAAAACCCTTCTTCCACACACCCACGCACAGAAATAGTATATATTAAAAAAAAAGGAAGAGAGAGAGAGAGAGAGAGCGGTTTTTTTCAAAAAAAAATAAGATTTTTTTTAAAAAAAAGCTCTCCCAACCTCCCCCCTCAAAAAAAATAGAATAATGATAATAATAATAATAATAATAATAATCCCGAGGTGAATTTGTACAAGTCCAGCTCCACGTCAATGCAGGGTTTATCTTTTTGTTTGGAAAGGAAGGATGTCTTCTCTCTCTCTCTCTCTTTTCTTTCTTTCTTTCTCTCTCTCTTCACCAAGCCATGGCCTCCAGTCTCTGTTGAGTCTCTGCAGTGGGGAGTGTTATCTGCTGCTCCTCCTCCTCCTCTCTCTCCTTCCTTCCTTCCTTCCTTCTTTCTTTCTCGCCTCCTTCTTTGCTTCCTTCCTTCCTTCCTTCCTTCTCTCTCTCTCTCTCTTCCTCCACACCCACCACGATGGAGAGAAAAATCAAGATCCTTTTCCTCCTCTCCTCCCTCCCAGCTGCATATATATATATAAAAAAAATTGCTCTGGTCACCGCCTTCTCTGAGCTGCCAAAAACCAGCCTCCAAACCCAACCTCTTGCCTGTTTGTCCCTCCTGCACACAAGGCACAAGCCAAGCCAAACATTAAGCAAACAGCCCGACCCGCTCTCCTCTTCCATTAAAATCCAAGGCCAGTTTTCCAGGGGGTAATAATTCCTTCCCACCCATCACCGCCACCCCCCCACCCCCACCCAAAAAAAATGAATCATAATAAATCGGTCGCTTCAATCCACGGCTGTTTTGCGAGACGCTGCTGCGTGCAATTGGCTGCCGTGTTTCGCCCGTAAAATATACGACGACGACAAAATTACGATTGCAAAAGGGCTTTTCACGTCGGGAGGACATCCCAGGGCGCTGGGCAGACAGAGTTATGGACCCGAGCTGGGGGTCGGGGTCGGGGAGGGTGGAGGGCAGTGGGGGAAAGCAGGGAGATCGAAAGCACGGTCAAAGAGGAGGGTCTTGAGATGGGTCTTGAAGGTGGCAAGGGAGGGGTCGAGGCGGAGGGACTGTGAGATGGAGTCCTAGAGGGTGGGGTTAGAGTGGCGGAAGGCCTGCCCACGAATAGTGGGGCGAGCGAGGCTGGGGACGTGAAGCAGGCTGGAGCCCGCTGAACAGAAGGAGCTAGCAGGATGGTAGGGGGTTAGGAGGTCGGAGAGGTAGGGGGGAGCAAGACCATAGAGGGCTTTGAAAGTGAGGACCAGGATCTTGAACTATATCCTCTGTGTGATGGGCAGCCAGTGGAGTTGGGCAAGGCTGGGGGTGATAGGGTCGCAGAGCTTACTGCGGGAGTGGACAGGGGCTGCAGAGTTCTGAATGATACAGTACAGTCAATTCACTTGACAGTATATAATAATAATAACCCTTGCATTTGACATAGCGTCTTATCACGTCTTCAAGACATCTCAAAGCGCTTCACAGGATATATGGTAAAGTGAATTGCGCCCAGTAGTATTCCACAAACAATCGTAGATTAAGTGATTTTTTTAAAAGTATTTATTACCCCTGGAAAAGCAATCCCCTAATCGACTAACAACCAGGTTCCTACTTACTGCTAGGTAAGCAGAGGCGTGTGGAGTAAGGAAACTTGCCCAACATTTTGCCCAATGTTTCACCCGGCCGGGAATCAAACTCAGGTCTCTCACTTGCGAGGCGAGTGCTCTAACCCCTGAGCTACAGGACTCCACTATAGGATGAGAGCGGGATAGTGGGATTAGTTGGATAGCTCTTTCAAAGAGCTGGCACAGGCACGATGGGCTGTATGGCCTCTTTCTGTGCTGTGCTGTAATGATTTTAGCTTTGCCATAGATTTTAAAATCTATGATTCTAAAAGCCTGGCAAAGCTTAAAGCATTTTAGTCACTCATGAGTCAACCCATCTGCAGCATTTTTTGTGGTGTCATGACATTTACAAGGCATGAACAACATGAACAACACTTTTTTAGGGACCAATATTCTCTCCTCCATTCCTGAAAGCATTGATGCTTACTGGCGTGCACTTCCAAACGGGCATTCTTCATGTCTGAGCCTAGATGATGAATGTGGGCAGGCTATTAGAAACATAGAAACAGGAGTAGGCTACTCAGCCCCTCGAGCCTGTGCCACCATTTTATAAGATCTTAGCTGATCTGAACCTCAAGTCCAGTTACCTGCCCTTGCCCCGCATCCCTTAATACCCTCACCTAACAAATATCTTTTTATCTCCATCTTGAAAATGTGAATGGATCTAGCATCCACAGCCTTTTGGGGGCAAGAGAGTTCCAAATTTTCACTGCCCTTTGGATGAAAAACTGCCTCTTAATTTCACTCCTAAATAGCCTAGCTCTAATTTTAAGATTATGCCGCCCTTGTTCTGGATTTCCCCCACCAGAGGAAATAGAATTCCATTCGACTATAGAATTAGGGTGTTTTCGTAGACAAGCCTGATTTCAGCTGATGTCTAGATACATGTTATACTATGGGGATCATTGTAAAGCCACCAGGAACAAGAATCTATTGATGATGATAATAATAATCCTTGCATTTGATATAGCGCTTTTCACGTCTTCTAGACGTCTGCGCACTGCGCACAGCAGTGTCCCACAAACAGTCGTAGATCGAAAATGACCAATTTATTATTGTTTTGTTTTGGAGGGATTATTATTAGGCTCTGTGTGGAGTAAGGAAACTTGCCCAAGGTTTTGCCCTGTGCCTGGAATTGAACTCAGGTCTCTTGCTTGCAAAGCAAGTGCTCTAACCGCTGAGCTACAGGACTCCACCCCTCCTTACCCCAGTAAAAAATTATTAT